CAATCTGCTGCCTCCTGCACGCCCCCCACTGGGGATGAAGCCCACAATCAGGGCATGTGCCCTGACCCAAAATTGAACCGGCACCTCTCAGTCCATGGGACCATACTCAGTCCACTGAGCCATACTGGCTGGGCCACAATGGGAAATTAAAAAGCAGATGGTAGAATTCCCCCCAAACGTTAGCGTCAGTGGTCGGGAGGGAGGAGGTGAGGCATGACAGAGGAGATGTTGACCTTGCATGCAGGTCTACAAATCGCCAGTTGAGCATGTTTCTTGGTTTTGGGAATCTCTAGGGGACCAATCCAGTGGGGTACACCTATCAGTTAGGTGAGCATGCAATGTCAGAACATAGCTGTGGCCACATCTAAGTTTAACTTCACTTTCAGTTTCCTCACCTGTGAATGTGGGTAGTAGCCTAGCATGGCAAGGATGCCATAACTGCCGTAACTGCCGTAACTAATGATCAAGTGTGGAGGACAGGGCGGGTCCAAATGTCAAATGTCACACAGAGTCAGGAGTTCACAGAAGCAGTCTCAATGCTGCACTTAAGAATTGGTTGACCGCCTCAATGAGAGCTCCCCAATGGGGGTGAGGGACAGGAGTAAAGGGGAGGTGGAAGATGAAGGGAGCAGGACATCACCCTTAAGCAGGTTGGAGCAGAGACAGGTGGGACTGCACTGGGAGAGGACACAGGGTCCAGGCAGCTACTCTTTGTAAGATGGGAGGATCTTGACCATGAGATGGGAAGGAGCCAGGGGAGAGGGATCTGTGATTCCCTGCAGTGCTGACTTTCCCTACCCCTGCCCTTCCCTGTACTTAGTACGTGTGTGTCCAATTTCTATTCTTAAGGGTTTTCCCATCGTGTGCTTCAGTGGTGGGATTGAACACTTTGTGGCAGAGGGTGGAGAGGGCAGCTGGTGACAGACCTGGGCAGGCATATCCCACTCTATGAAACAAAGTCCTGCAGTTGACCCCACCCAGTCTTACTCAGCAGCAGTCTCGTAGTCATCTATAGATACTCCCGTCGGTTCTCAGAGCACTCCTCACACCCACATACTGCGTTCTCCCTCCTAGATGCTCAGACATTCTGGTTTCTCCTTCACGTTCCCTTTTCTGGTGGAGTGTCAGGGCTGCCATACACTGGACCTTCAGTGCAGCCCTGGTCCATTCTGAGCCATGGCCCTGCCTTCTACTTGCCAGATCTCAGCCTCCCTATGTTACCCTAATAGCTGGGCCCTCCTGCTGTCCCTGATCCCTCCTACTGTATCATAGCCTCCTGTGTCTTCTACATTATCTGCCCCCATCCTTCAATTTTAGAGTCCTGTCCTTTCTCAGACCCCCTATTACTATGCTTCTCGTATGATGGCCACACCCACTTTATAAATTTGTTTCTGACTGGCCACAGTTCAACTGACAGTGATCCTTGGATATTGCAGTAACACCACCAAATTGGGCCTTCTCAGATGATTACCTGTCTTTAGGGTGTGGCCCATCCTGCTCTGTTCTGTTGGCCATAGATGAGGCCTTTCCATTCCTAGAAACCTTAGATCCCAGGTTTGGTGATCAGAGCCCAAAGGCCCTCTCCTAAGCCTTTCTCAGGGGAGTGGTCCCCAGGAGGCTCCAGTTTAGTGACTACCTAGCTGGTTAGGCTGGCTCCAGTTAGCTCAGTGGGCCAGCTGCAAGCCCTACCTCCTGGTCTGCACCAAGAGAAGTGAGCAGGCTGTGAAGGTCACTGCCCAGAACTTGTCACAGCCAAACGTGAAGTGTTTAACAATTTCTAGCCTGATATTTGGAATGCAGAAAGCAATGGAGCCGTAGCTGGAAGAGAATCATATATGCCCCCAGGCCCATCCAAGAATTTCACTGGGGTTCACGAGGCCACTTCCACAGCTGGTTTTTATGAGCTTGGCTCTTGGCCAGGATGATGCATTGACTTTTGGATTGACCTCAGGCAAGACAGAAATCTTCCAAGTGAGCCACTGCAGAGAGGGAAAACCCTGCACTTCCTTACTCTGTAATGGAATACACTGCGGGCCTTTGAAGATTAATCACTTAACAGAGGGAAAGTGATCTCAGTTAATTCTATTGGCGTCACCTCTTTCTTTGTGGCTTGAATGTTACTCTCCTGAAGAAGGTGGAGTAGAATTCAAATTTGGTTTTAGCTCCATAATCAAGGGCTTCTCTCAGATATCCATGGGTGATATATTTCTTGTTCACTCTTGGAAAAAGTTTCAAATCCTCTGTGCCCAGCATGCCTAGACTTTCTTTGCTCTCCCCTCACCCAGCCCCTTCTAAGACAATGTCTTCAGGGTCCATTAGTACAGTGGTTACTTTCAAGGCCACTGGAATCAGACTCCAAATTTGAATCTTGACATCCTGATTTAACTTCTTTTTTTCAATTTTATTTTGTGTTAATCCTCACCCGGGAATATTATTTCATTGATTTTTAGAGAGACTGGAAGAGAGGGAGGGAGGGAGAGAGAGAAACACCAATGTGAGAGAAACACATCAATTGGTTGCCTCCCACATGACCCCGATGGGGGACCGGGATCAAACCTGCAACTTAGGTCCATGTCTTTGACTAGGAATCAAACCTGAGACCCTTTGGTCCACAGGCCGATGTTCCAAATGCTGACCCAAACCGGCCAGGGCCTGATTCATCTTCTTGCCAGATGTATGATCTTTGAAAAATAGCTTGTTTCTCCATCTAAAAAAATGTGATTAGAGTACTGTATTAGTTTGCTAGGGCTGCTGTAACAAAATACCACAGACTGGGGAGCAAAGCACCAGAAATCTATCCTCTCATAGTTCTAGAGTCTAGAAATTGAAGATCAAGGTTTTGGTAGGGTTGGTTTCTCCTGAGGCCTTTCGCCTTGGCTCATAGACGGCCGTCTTCCCATTCAGCTTGGGTGGGATTTCCCTCTGATTACTAAGGGTTCGTAGTACCTCCTAGATATAAAACTATTAACGTCAAGAAATTAGTTCACAGAGAGAGAGGTGATATCACAGAGACGTTTAAAAGGAACTCTCCAAAGATGCTCCAGTGTTGGTAATAAGCCTGGTATATACTATCGTGATTGTACATTTCCTGCACTCCAGGAACCTACAACCTAAGTCATGTGACTCCTAAAGGGACCCATTTCCCTCCCTGCCCCAACCCAGCAGACAACATGAACACAGGAGGCTAAAAGGTTAGCATAACCCCTGTGACGTGGTGGCAGAGCATGCATGCCCTCAGCAGATGCTGGTGGAAGTGCCCTGTGTGTGCAAAGGGCAAAGCAGGGCACATAAGTACTATGTTCAGAACTTTCCAGAAAAGTGAGAGGAAAGTCATTAGATCTTTTCAAGATTGGCTTCTATGGAGAATTTGGGATTGTTTCTCCCATGTTGGTTTTCAATCTCGGTTATTATTACAAAATCAACACATACTCATTGTAACAGTTAATCATCCCGGGTATGTCTATACTTACAGTAACGTACTGGTTTTTGTTATCACTCTATAATGTTCTGCAAGCTGCCAACTGGAGCATCTTCTTGAAATGTTGGAAGAGAGGGGCTATGTGGGAAGGGCAGGTGCAAGGAGGGTGTAAATTGACAGAGGACTTTGATTCTTCCCTGAGGTTTGGAGCGGTGTGGAGAGGCGGGCAGGAGCCTGGGGAAGACAAACAGGAGACTAGAGCTCTGGGGTGGTTTACTTAGTCTCTTGATGAATGGGGCTCCTAGATCTGCCCTTTGAGCTTAAGAGAGAAAATGACTAAGTGACAATGATTTCAGTCTGGAAGAATGTTGTGGGGGAATTGTGCTCTTGAGGGTCGGGCATGTGGCAAGGAGGTGGTTGTCCATGGAACACTATTCAGTTGAATTCTGAAATTTTGGGAAAAAGGAAAAGCAGAAGAGGCGTGAGACGGACTGAGTGAAGATCGCACATGGGGGAATCGAGGGGAATCCAGCGTCTTGCTTGAGAGGAGATTGTAAGGATAATACCTGACTGCTTGCTTGTGGGTGGGTCTGGAGAAACTCCAATAACTATTTATTGTGTTTAGTTTGATTTAGTTACACATATCAAGTAAGTAACATTATAAATAAAATTGCTCTTGGTGATTCAAGTATTATTTGCGATCAGATACATTCACTTGCCCATTGAGAAATATTAGGAATGACATACAGAGGCCTTGGAAACCAAGCTGGTGAGGGGGAAAGGCATCTTCAAACCATGAGTCAGGATGGAATCCAGGGAGGACAGGGCCTCACAAGTCGAGACCTCAGAGAAGGATGAGCAGTGGTTTGTTGGAGAGAGGAACAGGATTGCGGGGAGGCCAAGAGCGAAAAAGGCAGCCAGCAAAACAGACAGGATATCCCAGGGTCCTTGGTCAGAGTGGCCTTCGGGAGCACATAAGGAGGGGAGAAGCTAAGTGGAGGAAGGATCAGTGAAGAGCTCACTGGGGCCTTGAGCGAGCTGATTGAAAAGAAAAGAGTGACTTCAGAGCCTTCCCAAAGGAGATTAGTGTGGCTCTAGGGGCAGTGAGCAAGCTGTCAGCCTTCACCATGAGTGAGCCCCTCAGGGAGCTTCTCTGAGAGCATAGGCTGCTGGTGACAAAGCCTCCATCCCCTGCCACACATCCGTGTGCAAGAAAGATCCCCATAAACTCAAGATTCCTTAACATAGAATAGGCGTGGTCCCTTCCACAGCTGAAGGAATGAACCACTGCAGTGGCCCCAGTTCTCAACCCTCCTGGCGAAGCACACCAGTCTCAGCTTTACTCCTGAGCAGTGAATCCCCAGAAGCTCTGGACTGTGTTGTTGAAACTGAAACTAGATTGCACACGCTGTCAGCTTAGGGAGCAGCTGTGACCTCCAAGTTCAGTTCCTGATTTTGTGTTTTTTTCTCCCTCCTCCTTTAGATCTCGGTGTGTGTGGGCGTCTCCTCAGCTGGCAGCCCTGCTGTGCCCTGCAGTTGACATCCAAGGTTTTGACTGTGTGGGTTTGTGTCTTTCCGGCAGGTGTCTCCTCTGTGACTTCCCTGATGTCCCTGGCTTGGGTGCTAGCCTCCTATCACAAGCTGCTGCGGGACTCCAGGGACGACAAGAAGAGTATGAGCTACAGAGGGGCCCTCATCCACCTCTTCTGGCGCCTCTTCACCATCTCATCCAGAGTTATCTCTTTTGCCCTCTTTGCTTCCATCTTCCAGCTCTACTTCGGGATCTTCGTGGTGGTTCACTGGTGCGCCATGGCCTTCTGGATCATCCATGGCGGAACAGACTTCTGCATGTCCAAGTGGGAGGAGATCCTCTTCAACATGGTGGTAGGGATTGTGTACATTTTCTGCTGGTTTAACGTCAAGGAAGGGCGGACTCGATATCGAATGTTTGCATATTATACGATAGTCTTGACCGAGAATGCTGCCTTGACGTTCCTTTGGTATTTTTACAGAAACCCGGAGACCACTGACTCCTATGCGGTGCCAGCACTGTGTTGTGTCTTTATTAGCTTTGTGGCTGGGATCGCACTGATGCTCTTATATTATGGTGTGCTGCATCCCATGGGGCCACGAGCTAAGATCTTTGCCAGCTCCTGTTGTGCCGAGCTGCTCTGGGGCATCCCTTTGCCCCCCGATGTTGAGCCCATGGCGCCTCAGACCCCTGGGTACCGGGGGACCCAGGTCACGCCTACCAGAGCCGTAACGGAACAACAGGAGGATCTCACGGCTGACACTTGCTTGCCCGTTTTCCAAGTGAGACCCATGGGGCCCTCCACCCCGTCGGGGCGTCCTTACCACCCAGAAGGGCCCCTCATTAAGATTGACATGCCAAGAAAGAGATACCCAGCTTGGGATGCTCATTTTGTAGACAGGAGGTTGAGAAGGACTATTAACATTCTGCAGTACGTCACCCCCACCGCGGTAGGCATTCGGTATCGAGATGGACCGCTCCTTTATGAGTTGCTACAGTATGAGTCTTCACTCTAAGAGCGTCTTGACCCAAGTTGAGAAGGGGACCTTAAGTTGGTTTGCGGTAAACACCGCTTGCAAGAAATATAACTCTCCCTTCCCCCAATACACAAAATCACAACCACCACCACCATCACCACCACCACTGCTACAAAAATCAAAAAAAGAAAATAATAAGTCACAACCCCTTCAGATAAGCTTTCTTTCCAGTCGCTGTATGTATACAAAGATATTCTCTATGTTTTGTAAGTAAAAACAAAAAGAAGACCTTTCTTTTGTTTTTTACACATAAAAAACAGTATTGAAAATCCCACACTATTGTTCATAGGGTGGAGAAGGAGGAGCTGTCTCCACTCCAAAAGAAAAAAAAAAATGTTTTATACCTTACACCAAGTGTAGATCATTTATGGGATTGGTGCTGATTGAAAGAACAAAACAAAACAAAACAACAAAACAAACACAAACAAACAAACCTTCAACTGCCTTATGCCCTTAGGTGCTGAGTTTCATTAAGTACTGTCACCGTTTTCTCATGCAAAACTCTCTGGTGGTTTTGGCACCAAGAGAGGGGAAATTGAACAATCAAATGAAACAAATCTAGAAACAAAACGAAAACCAACCGACAAATAAAACACAAAGCAATCATTCTTCCTATCTGATTATTTGTATTGAAGAAAACCAATTGACCAAAATCAAAGGCATAGAAACCCCAATCTCTTTTCGATTTCTCTCCCTCCTTTCCTGTCCTTAACCCCCCAACTCAACAGCGCCTTCTAGGGGCCAATGGCCATTTGGAGCTCAAATGGCTGGGAAAGCTCCCTGAAGGCTGACCTTGTGCCACTTTAGCATTCACCTAGCATGATCACCTTTGTGTCCTGGTGAAGAGCAAAACAGAATAGATCAAAAAAGCCACCCCAATAATTTGATAAGAACAGGAAATTCTAAAGCAAATTAAAGGAGATGTCCATCTATTTAATCACAGAAAATCAGTAATAATAAAACTCAGCATAGTAGCAAAAAGAATGACATCAATTTAAAGGCACAATACTTAATCAGTGACTGGCAAACACGATTTTGGTCTGTCATTTTAAGGCCGTGAAAGGTGTACATTTATCACATGTGATATTGTGTAAGGCCTCTTCCGTTTCCATTTGGTGGGAAGCCTTAAATTGATCTGGAAAGAGTTCTTCATTTTTTCATTTGTGCTTTTTAAAAATATTAACACAGAGGAAAATTAGAAAAATATATATATATACATATATATGTGTATATATATGTATGTATATGTATATACACACACACACACACCACATCAAATTGTAATAACTGACCCATTTCAAAGACTGTTTGGTGCTTCTGTCTTTCACCACTGTGGTCAGCTGAAACTCATTCAGCTTACCTGGTGCATCTGGGGTGAGTGGGAGATTTTGTGTATGTGGTATGTGGTGTGTGTGTGTGTATGTGTGTGTGTGTGTGTGTGTGTGTGCCCATAGCACATGTATATATGTGTGTATGTGTCTGCTGCAAGGTCTTGCCAGAAATGCAGAAAACCACTCTAAGGCAGACTCTGGGTATGGCTAAGGTGGAGCATAGGGGGCTGGGGAGCGGGGAGCAGGAAGGAGGGGATGGTGCTGGAATATGAGCCCCTGTCTGGATGGCGAGACTCACACCAGCAGCGTACTCTGGGTCTTAGAGGCTGTGTCATTTGGGTGCAGATTTGATTATTTTCTCATTGTACCAAATTGAATTTTGAGAGGTGTTGCAAGTATGTTCAATCATTTCTTAAATGTTATTTTTCAAAGTATTGCTCCTGTAAGGAATATTCTGTTCTAGGATATCGTTTCAATCCCATTGTATCTCTACTTGGGCACAAAAAAAAAAAAAAAAAAAAAAAGGAAAAGAAAAAAATCACAAAAACAAAAAAATCTCCACAAAAAAAGATATATATATAAATATATATATATACACACACAATATTTTTTAGCAAATACTCTTAGTCTTTGTTGTGTGTAGCTGTGATTTTTTAAAAAATTCCAGATATAACTGTTTAGGGTGCAAGACCCCACATTGAACTATTCTTAAGAGACGTTCAAAAACTGAGGAATTGCGTTGTTTTTATTTATGTTTGTGGGGTTTTTTTTATATTATTATTATTCAAAGAGGCTTCTCCTTCCCACCCACTTCACTGTTTATCTAAAGATGTAAAAATAATAATAATAATAATATAATAATAAGTTTTAAATTTCAGTTCAGTAGTAAATCTGGATGTTCTTTCCTTTGTTCAGATCCCTTTGATTTCCTTTACTGGTACGAAACTTTGCAGGGCTGTGCTGTGCCCCTCCCCGACTGGGCTGTCCCTGGGGTCCTCCGTGGGAAGGAGGGCAGAGGAGAGGTGCAGAGAGCCTGCAGACCTGCTCCCCACCTACCTAGGAAGCACGCTGCCCAGAGCACACCAGGCTTTGGTGAAGACCAGCCATGTGGGCCCATCTCTGCCCATGGGCCACTCAGTGGTTAATTGGGGGTTCCCATCTGGTCAGAGGGACTTTTCCTTTTGACCCTGCTTCCCTCTGAGGGCTTAGCTCACTGCTTACTCTGCTGAGGCTGGAGGATGTGAGGCCATGTGAGAGGAGCCATCCCCTGGGCTCGCTGGAATCCCAGCTCTTGTCTGCCTCAGCTCGGGGGCTCTGTGTGGCTGGAGCCCTACAGACGTCCGTCACTAGAGCAATTCGTGACACTGTCCCTGTTCATCCCTTTGGGACCTGTGCCACTCTGGCTTGTTTGTCTCTTCTTGGGTTTATTTTCTTTCTCTCTCTCTCTTTCATTTTAACACATTGCAGCTCTATTTTTCTACTGCACATATAGCATGTGTGTGCGTGCATTTGTGTGCATGTGTGTGTGTGTTTATGTTTACACGCAGCTGAGAAAATGGCTCACCTTCGTTAACCTGGAGCACCAAAAGTTGGGGTGATAATTTCCAACTCAGGGAGGGCCCTGTGGGGCTGTAGCCACTGGGAACTACTGAGGAGACCACAAGGCCTTTCAGAAATCCTTTCTTCCAACCTTTGTTGGATTGGCCTCTGCGAGCCTCAGGCAGGAGGGCACACTTATCTAGGAAATGTCGCTCCCCACCCCCTGCGTTGTGTCGGCTCCTTTCCTAATGATGCAGATGAAAATAGGCATCAAGGGCAGCAGCAGGGAAAGCTGGTCTTGCAGAGACAGAAGAAGAAAACACAGGAGGGAAGGAGGGAAACATAAGGAGAATGGCCAGACGAGAGAGTTTGCATCTGTCTTCAGCCTCTAGCAAGTCCCCACATTTTCAATCACCAGGAAACCCTCTCTCTGCTGGTCCCAGCCATCACCTGCCCCACTAACGTGCTTCCCCTGCAGGGGCTGCTCAGCGGCTGGCTGGCCTTGGGTGGCAGTGTGGGAGTCCACACGCTCAGTGCTCTGAGTCCACCCTGGGAGGTGGGTCTTCATATGCAGAAGACTCTGGTCCTGAAAACCCAGCTCCTCCAGGCCACTCTGCAGCAGGTGGCCCTTTGCCCCCACACTGGGCATCGCCTTTAGTCTGCCACTTGCCTGAGCCCCTGACAAATCCCTTATGAGCAATGAGGCCCCAGCTACTCTCCAGGGGGACGCCTATGATGTTCTTTAAAAAAAAATTCTTTGAACCTACTTCTTGTCCAGGAACTCCTGATGAGAATGAACTACAGAACAAAATAGGAAGCACTGCCCTTTCCTCTCTTTACTGCCCTCCCCCAGCAAATGCACCCACAACCACACAGAAAATTTGACTCTTCTTTTTATTCTCAGAAATATGGTAGCATCTCCAAAACCTGGATGATTTTGCAGCATCATCTCTGCAAACTCTGTTTCTCCCTTGCCTCTTCTCTGGGCCTCTGCACTGAAAGAAAATGTCAGTCCCCTCAGGTAGTGTGAGGTGAGGTCACCTGAGCTCATTGCCACAAGCTCGAGACATCCCAAATGGGAGTGTCATGTCTCTTAAGACCATGATGAAGGGAGCTAAGAGCTCCCACTGGCCTTACTCACCCCCAGAGTTTCTTGCATCTCAAATACACTCCTCCACCATCTCTGGAGAGTTCACCTTGTTCTGAAGGCTCAGACTTGTCCAAAGAAGCTGGGAACCAGGGTGCTATGAGAACTGGCCCCATCTCTCTTGATGGCACAGGCTGCCAACATGTCCCTTTTCAGTCAAGGAAGACACTTCCTCCCCACCTGTCAGATCCCCCACATTCAACCTCACTGAGAGCAAAGTCATCCAATACCCTCTGGCCCCGTGGTCTAACCTGTCCCCTCAATGGCCACGGAGGCTCTGAGTCCCAAGGCAGTTTCAAAGAGTGTAAATACCTGCCTGGATCATGATCACAAGGGTGATTCTATTGGCTGTACAGCATCTTGTGTCATAGGCATTAGACCTTGTCCCAATAAGGGGCCTTATTCTTGGACAGAAACATTTGTGGGCTTTTAAGAAGCACCAAATGACATCATTTTCTCTATTCTCCCTTCACTTGTACTGTCTCCCACGGGGTCATAGGCGCAGGGGAAGAGGTTTCTGACGCTGATCTTGTTGGAGAACCTCGAAGCAGGCATGGAGTCGCTCCTTGTGTCCAGCGGGACTCCCCTGCGGTGTCCATATGCCCCACAGAGGACACCCGCATCCCCTTTATCCACTCTGGCCCTTCCTCCTGGGGGTAGGGGGCTCTGTAACAAGCCCCCAGCCCCGATGCCCCAGCCCGTAGCAAACTTTTCTCTCTTCGTTACCTAGGAACAGATGTAGGAGAAGGACAGCAGCGTGCGGGCTCGGAGCCTTTGGGCCAGAGGAAGGGATGCCAGGTCCTTAAAGAGGACAGGGCAGGGCCGTTTTTCACACACTGCGTCCACGCCCTCCTGCCCCTGGCTCTCTCGTCGCGGTGCACACACGCGATGGCATTTTCTTTGCCAAGGAAAGTAGCTCCTCACTCAACGTGAGCCCTTCCAGGCCTCTTAGGTGTGATGATAGCAGCTCTGAGTGGTAGCCTTTATGAGAGCGCATGTCTTGTGTACACTCGTTTAATTTTCTTATCAAAAAGCTAAAATCTGTTATTTCTTTGCCAAACTCAAAAAAACAAAAAACAAAATTAAAATAACACTACCAGATTTGGTTGGGGGAAGGGGATTTCAATTTGCAGACTGGGAAGAGAAGAGAGCTCATTGCCATTCATTTCACCTAGATTCAAGCGATAGTCCCAGTGTAGACTGGGAATCTTGGTGAGCCGGAGGGAGGCCTGGAAAAGACCCCGCACGACTGGCTGGATCAGCCCTCTAGGTAGCAGTCATGTTCATTCCATTCTCAGACAGGTACCGATGACCAGAGCCGGCCAGGCAGCCCCCCTCATGAAGCACACGCAGCTACCTTGTAGGCAATCAGTTTAAACCAGCATCCACTCCTCTCCTTAAGGTCCAGGTGTGAATGAAAGGAACAAAGGGGGAAATTCTTCCAGGTTAAAGTCTGTGCCATTGTCTCCTCATCTAAAACAGTCCACTCAGAGCAGAAACATTCTGTTCCCATGCACAGCTCAGCGTGGAAATGGCAGTAGTTAACCTGTCACAGGCCGCAGAACCACGAGCTCACAAGAGGACTGTCCCCAGAGCATCCCAAATCAGTGTGTGCCTGTCCCAATTTCAAAACTTGTGAAAAGGCACCCTGCCCTCCTAGAGATTTTTTGAAGCCCTCACTGGGGAAAAGATGATGCGTAATCTAAATTTCTGCACTGGCAACATAAGCCTTGTTCTCACCCATCCTTAGCTATCTTAAAGGTTTTCTTTCTTGCATAAAACACTGCATCTGTGCTATTGGCCAAATATCAAAAGACAAGGGCACTGCCTTGATCTGCCTGCAGCTTTATTCCTCTGCCTGCCCGGTTCTGTCTGCCTTACTTGACTCTCCCGGGCACCATCTGCTTCTTCCTGTCCTCCTGGGAAGGAGCTGTGCCTTCTTGCTCCCTGTACCTTTCCTTACA